TATATATATATATAAAGTTTATATATATATATAAAGTTTATATATATATATATATAAAGTTTTAGATGTTCACCTAGTGAAATAATATTGGAGAAGTATCAGGAAAAGTTGGTGGGTTCATATGTTACTAAACTGGATCACTCAGATTTTGTCAATTCCTTAATATATATATACATACATATACATACATATATATTTTTTTTTCAAGAGTGTAGACTTGAGAGAACAGAGTTGGAAAAGTGACTAATTACTTCTAAATTCATTTTATTTTACTTGCATATTTACTTGATTTGTATGAAAAGGAAAATGGGTGGCCATTATGATCGCACCAGACAAGAATTAGGGAACTTATTCATAAGTCCTGGTTCTGCTACTGTATTAATTCCTACCATCCTTTCCATATATATGAGGGATTGAGGATGGCCCAGGTGTTGCCAGGTGGGGTCAGGTACTCTGGCTGAGCAAGTTCAAAGCAGAAAGAGAAAGTAAGACAGAAATAAGTTGATTTCTTGGAAACAACCACGCATCAAGTAGGAATAGCAAACATTACATTGTTCAGAAGGGCAGGCATATACAAGAAACAGTCACTTACAAGAAACAAAATCAGGTGTGCAGCAGAAATGGGACTGAATGGGGAACAGGTAGGAGAAGGAAGGAATCGAGGACAGTTGTTTCAAAGAGCACTGAAGTATTTGAACCTCACCTGGAGCAGTTTCTGGGATGTGTTCCTAGGCTTTCAGCCTTTTAAGAACCTTTGGGGAGGTGACCATAGAATTTACCAGGATACTTTGCGAGTAAAGGGGGTACTGTCATAATTGTTGGAGCTGTAGACATAAATTGCAACTGACCTCAAGCAAACCACAGTGTGTGGTCACCCTGCCCTCGGACTATTTTCAGACCCAGTGTCTCTTTATAACCTTAATATTCTCCCCTATAACAAAGCCTGAATCCTAAGATTGGGGGCAGCAGCAGCTTTAAAGAGGTCCAAATATTCATTACTCAGTAACATTTAAAAATAATTTTGAAATTTAACCCCTTAGAAATTTTTAATTTTTTAATAAGCTTCCATAAAAGAACAAAACTAAACTAAACAAGATTAGTAGTTTTCAAAATAAACCCAGGTCTATCCTCAAAGAAAAAACTCATAGCCCTAAATGTTATTCTGTCTTTAAAAAAATAATCTAAATAGTCAGTATAAAATTTAGAAGAATAACTATGGCCTAAGGAAAAAAAACTTTCAAAATGCAATCATTACAAAAGAGGTAGAGTTTTTAAATGCATTTATGAGTTGTTTATCTTTTTTAAACTATAAAGTATACAAGCCTCTCCTATTTCTAATTAAGACTTAAAAGAAGCATAAAAATAAACAAATGTGGGCATAGAAAATAAAGCTATTAAAAAGACACTTTCAATTGTGAAAGAATACTTCAAAGACTATTAAATTACAAAAAAAAGAGAAAAATTTTAGATGCAATCCAGTCATGAAAGTTTGACTCAAAAAGTAAAAACTTAAGTAAGCTAATAACAATAGGAGAAATTCTAAATTTCTATTACAAAAAAATACCAGCTTTGGCTTAATTCTAAATTTCAATAAATAATTCTCTGTGTGTATATAAATACTGTTCTAAAGTTAACCAAAAACGCAATTATCTACATTCATTTAACATTCAACAAAGCTAGCATAAAGTTGATAATAAAAGATGATTAAAGGCTAACTTAGATTTAGGAATATTGATTTAAAAAATGATAAATAGAATACTAGTAACTCTAAGCCAGTTGTATATAAGGAGCATAGTACAATCAGGTATGGTTAATTCTATGAATTCAAAAACTATCCCTCTCATGCATCATATCAAAAGGTCATAGAAAAAAAAAGACCATATGATGCTGAAAATGAACATTTAAATTAAAAAATTATAATTTAAATAAAACATTTCTAATGATAACAATTATATGAGGGCTATCCCATACTCTGATTCGTTGAATTTCAGCGAGACAGCAATTTTAGAATACCAGTTCACAAAGCCTGGTCGAAGGGTTTTACAGAGTCTTTTACTCCCTAAAATGCCCAGCAAATATTTGGGTATCATACCTATAGTTTGGGGGGCTCTCTACCCTCAGGGAAACTTCAGTTATCTGAATGGTCCTGGACCCCCTTCTGACATTGCTGAGTCCTCTTGGGCTCAGACAACAACAGAAACTTCTACAGGAAACCACCTTTGTACCATGAGCCTCAAAGCAAAGGCTGTGGAAAGGCAAATAGCAGTCCCCTCCCTGTGTCATCCTTCGGGCTCCAACCATGGCAAATCCCATCAGAACCTACTTTTGTGGGAAAACAAATCAGAACGTTTCAACCTAAATGGGGTAAAGACAATTTTCTCCCCGCCTTCTAAATATACCATAACTGCGGCTAACCTTGGGTAGGAACAATTGATTCATTCAAGAAACAACCATTTATTAAATAAAGATTTATTCCAAGCCAGACACTGAATGAGAGGCTGCAGAAACAGCAGTGAACAAAAATTATCACAGAGTCGATGTGTTCATGAGGTGAAGAGAAATAAACATAAACAAAATATAAAATATGTCTGGTGCTAAGGGAAAGAATTACTTTAGAGTGTGTCTGGGCATAACTCCCCTTCCTTAACTTGGCGTGGTACCTACAGCCCAGCCAGCCTTATCTGAAATGAATTATGACTTTGGACCCTTGGCTTGAAATTAGTGGTATAGTGTCTGACTTAAAACTAAAGGTCAAATTGTGCTTTTTCCCAAAACAAGGAACTATTGTTAGGTTATTAGAGCTTTACTATGAAGAATTTTTACTAGCTTTAGAACCATCATCTTGTTAGAACCATCACCATGTTAAAATATTGAGTTCAAAATTCTAGGTCATACAGTTCACACAAAATCCAGGAACTGTCTTATTGACAGAGGACTTAGTAAACTAAAAAAAAAAAAAAAAATTTTAGCCTGGCCGGTGTGGCTCAGGGGTTGGGTGTTGATACATGAACCAGGAGGTCACAGTTCGATTCCCAGTCAGGGCACATGCCTGGGTTGCAGTCCTGATTCCCAGTAGGGGTTTGCAGGAGGCAATCCATCAGTGACTCTCTCTTATCATTGATGTTTCTATCTCTCTCACTCTCCCTTCTTCTTTTTAAAATAAATAAAAACTTGTTGTTATTGTTGTTGTTGTTAATCCTCACCCGAGGACATTTTTCTATTGATTTTTAGGGAGAGTGGAAGAGAGAGGGAAAGACAGAGAGTAACATCGATGTAAGAGAAATACATTGATTGGTTGCTTCCTGCATGCGCCCAACCAAGACCTGGGCTGGGTAGGAGGCTACAACCAAGGTACATGCCCTTGACTGGAATGGAACCTGGGACCCTTGGGTTTGTAGGTAGATGCTCTACCGCTGAGCCAACAGGCTAGGGCAATAAAAACATATTAAAAAAAACAACAACTTAGAGCTATAAAATTAATGGATGCAATTGATCATGTGAGTAAAAACATAAGCCTAGTGAATGAAATTCCTAACAGCAATTCCTTGTTTGAAAACACTCATACAATTTTGATGAGACAGGACCTGCAGCCCAGCGACTTGTGATTCAGACTCACCAGCCCACTCTCCAGGCAGGCGTGTGCTCATGGGCTCATTCCTTCACCCCCATCAGGTGGAAGACCAGAATTTTGGATACTCTGGGTATTTCCTGCTCATGTCCTTGTCATGAAAGCCACCAAATGGTTCTTACGTAGGGAAGAAAAGAAATACTGGGTGGAGCAAAAGTAGGTTTATAGTTATTTGTATGGAAAATAATGCAATAGTTAATAAATAATAATACAAGAATAAACTCTGTGTTTCATGTGCTCACAACTGTAAACCTGCTTTCCCTCCACCCTGTATACATTCAGGAAATCCAGGGCAAGAGTTCCACTGTGTTCCTGAGCCCAAGACCTCATGATTAGATCATTATTTGCCTGCAATACCCTCTCCACACTCTCCCTCCTTGTGACAACTCATCTTCTTCCTTTCCTTTTTCTCCTGTTCAGGAAGTTTTAAATGACACAATTTCCTACCCGGATGGTACATTCATGGATTGGGAGTTTAAGATCTCTGTCTTGTATGACATTGCTAAGGTAAGAGAACTATAAACACAAAAGACATCTAGAAAATTAAATACAGGAAAATAGATCAAGTAAGCTATTCAACTTCACTGCATTGGTTTCTTCATCTGTAAGATGGAAATAAAAATAGTACTTATTTAGTACTAATAGTCAGAGGGTTGTTCGGAGTATTTTATGAAATAATGCATATGCTTCGCAAAGGCCTGGCACAAGTAAATGTTCAATATATACCGGGTCTTCTTCTTATGATGATTATATGCTTTCTACTCTGGGTTCGAGGCACATGTTTTCATAGACTGGCTGGAAGTTAAACTAATACAAAGCTGCAGAGAGAACAACTAAATCTTCAACTTTATAAGAGAAAATATTAAGCACAGGCAACCATCGTGTATGAGGTGGTAAAAAATTTGGACATGTATATCCCCAAACATGGGAGTACCAGTAACCAGGGCCTCATTCAAGAATGAAGAAAAGTCAATCCCAAGAGTGAGCTATTTGATACAGTCTTAAATCTCCCTCCACATAGCGTCAGAATACGTTTGCAAAATGCTATATGATACCCCATTTGCCACATGTCACTCCTGTGATCTAGGCTGAAACCCAGTGTCTGCAACAACACCTCTAGCCAACAGAGGGAAGCACACCAGCGAAAAATAGGCTTCCCCTTTCACAATAGATTGAAATCCATTAAATTTTAGAAACTAATCTAGCCTAGCCCCTCCTTTCAGAATAGCAAAGCCTTATTGTGCATATTTTTTAACTGAGGTAGTAAAAGACCAGACATACCCAAGGTCTCAGACCAAATAAGTGGTAAGTGAACACACTTTAAGAAAATAGGATCAACCTTTCATTTTATATTATATACTAGGGGCCCAGTGCACGATTTCTTGCACTTTGAAAGGAACTGTGGGCTGTGAGACTGTGGTGGGCATAGGGGGGTAGGGTCTCAGCACATTCTTCATGCCCCCACCGGCACCTCCCGCCATGGCCCCCAGTCCCCTGTCTGCCAGCAGCCCTGCTCCCACTACCGCCGCTCCCATGCACTGACAGCACCGGCCCCACTCACACCTGCTGATGGCGCAGAGTGATTGGGGCCAGCGCCAGCAGTTGCTGCAAGCAACGGCTACTGCCCCAAGTGCCCCTCAGGAGCAGAGGGAGGTGGAAAAGCCCTGAGGGGCAATCGCTGGCCGTGGTGTGAGTGGGGCCAGCTCCAGCGCCAGCAGTGGGTGCAAGCGCCCACCAGGCTAGCCCCAATGACAGTGACCGGTACCCCACCTTGGTCTGGTGCCCCTGCTCATCTGCTCAACCATCCTGCTGCGGCCAGTGCTCACCATGTTCCATGCTCTGCTGCCTGCTGCCAATGCCCACCATGTTCTGCATGCGCCCCCTGGTGGTCAGTGCACGTCATAGAGACCGGTTGTTCAGTTGTTCCTCTGTTTGGTCTATTTGCATTTTAGGGTTTTATATAGAGAGATAATTACTTAATCCAAGTCTTTAGACAACTGCCTTCTATATGTCCCCTAAATAGATTTAAAACTAGATGTAATGCTTAGGCAAACATTAGGGCCTTAGTATTTTTAAAGTAAAATTAATGGAACTAAGTTTGAAAACTGTTAGTGTGATTCTATCTGCATGCTGAAATGAGTTCAAACTGTCATTTCTTTCTTTAAAATAAGCAGGTGCAGAGTGTCTTATCTCTTTGTTTTCTTGTCATCTGAAAAATTGCAGGGGATGTCATATCTGCACTCCAATAAGACAGAGGTCCATGGGCGTCTGAAATCCACCAACTGCGTGGTGGACAGTAGGATGGTGGTGAAGATCACCGATTTTGGCTGCAATTCCATTTTACCTCCAAGAAAGGGTCTGTAATGAAATTTTAACCAGTTTCCCACTGGTCTTTCTCTTTTTTCACAAGCCTACATAATTCTCTCAAGAAATAGTGATACTGATCAGAAAATTAACACTTGGAGCCACAAAAGGCAACAGTGGGCTCATTCTCTAACAGTTCGCCCTTGTCAGTTTTCAACAAGTGTTTCTTGAATTTAATAAATCTCCTCTGTAGATTTCCTTCATCCATGTCCCTTGATATCAGTGAGAAATCATGAGGAACTTATTAGCTTGCGGAAGCAGAACTGGGTGAAAAATAGAGGTGATTAGAGTAGTAAGAGACCTTAGAAATCTTCTGGTCTAACCTTCTCTCTTTATAAAACAAACAAAAAAAAAAACAAACAAAAACAGAATAAAGGTTCAGAGAGGTGAAGAGGTTTGCCCAAGTAGATAGAGTATAAGGCAGATGACCCATTTCCAAATTCTAGACATTTATTTATCTGTGATAATGATAAGGAAAATAACTCGTATCAGTAAAATATATTCTTATCTCTTTTAAGATTGTAATAGGGGTCAAAAAGAGTAACATAAAGAAAAATGATTTGTAAAGTATAAAGAGTTTTTGTGTTGAATATTTACCCATTCTTTACTATATAACTCAGGGTTATGGACTCAGAAATCTAACACTCATATATGATTGAAAATACCATCTAGGTCCAAACAATAAATTCCACTTCAATTCTATTTTACAATCCTTTAGTTTTTCCTTAATAGAAAATTATAATTCTGCCCCTAATTTCTTCAGTCACATCAAGCATGCTAGACATTGGACTCAACCCAGTAAGTGCTCGTTGAAGACCTACTGTGTGCCAAGCTTGATTCATCATGTAGTGGAACAACTCTCCCTTATTAGATGACCCAATATGAACGAAAATCACAGGTCAAATCTCATCCTCCTGAACATCACTCAGTTACACTGACCTATCTGTGCTGTCGGTCACCTGAATTTTAGCATAAGTAGTTGTACGTACCTTTCCTACAACCCCAAACCACATGAATAACAAGACACATAAAGTCACAAGACATCAATTCAAAAAGGCAATGAATATTTGGATGGAAAAACCACATGAGGAAAATGTGCCTTGTCCTAAGCCTAACACTGTACCCGACAGCATGAATCTATAGATTTTTTCCATCAAAACTGCCAAACATACAAATCTCAAAAAGCTTACAAGGAGCTAGGTGATTCTGGAAAAACTTCAAGGGATGTCGGAGAACAATTGTATGCCCTGTTATTACCAAATGAGATAAGTGATGAGAGTCCAAAACCCAAGTGTCTGCAGGAGCCAAACACAGAACACAGGAGCCCTTCACTGTGAAGTGGACCAGATGGGAAGCATTGAGGAGGGGCAGGCCCAGTAGTAAAATGGGAGTAAATTGTATGCAGTATGTTTTATAGAACACTGTGGGAGCAGAGCACAGGACTGAGGAAGAGAGGAGAGCAGAGCAGAGCTGTCTAGCAGAGAGGGGCCTGGCCCCAGGGCTGCCTCAAAGCCATGCTGTTTTCACAGCTCTGCTGTATCAATTGAGCTGATTTGCACTGAATAGTTTCCTTCATTGCAGACTAATTTGGGAATTCCTGTTGGCATTGAATTGGCCAATAACCATGGGTTGACAGTACTCACAGAAAAATATATGCAAAGTGCTTCTCCAATGTCATCAGCCTCATAATTTAGAACTTCTTGCAAATTCCTAATAAAAATTTTGGTTTAAAAAAAAAAAAGAACACTAGGGGAATCCAAGAACACACATCGCTGGGCAGTAGCTGACTTGGAGGCTGTCAGTGTGTCACATCTGGAAAATATCAGTCGTAGTCTCTTTGTTTGAATGTGCTGTCTTTATTTTTAAACATTTACAAAGGCTTTCCTAGGTTTATGCCTTATGTCCCGTAAGCTATTAAACCCTCTTAGCCTCTCATTCTAGTGCATTCATCCTACCAACCTTTACAAGCACTTCCTGTACACCAGGTGCTATTCTAGGTAGACCTTGAGG